GTTTCATTCTTAGTTTTTTTATTTTTATTTTTAAAACCTGAAAATCCTAATAGTGAAATAGTCTATAACAACTTATATCCACTTTGCAGGGTGTGAACCCATGGATTGAGGTAGATTGTGGAGTGGGTCCCAACAATGCATACAATGTATTTTAATCTATTTCCATGTTTCTTTTATAAAGAATTGTATGTTTGTCAGTAAATGATCATTTTCCTTTCTGTTTTGTAACACCAACGAACAATTTGAACAACTTTAAAACAATCAATATTTCATGAAAGGTTATTGAGGCGGGTGCTAATGCGTTGGTTGCTGGTTTTACTGTTTTTGGAGCTAAAGATTATGCTCAAAGGTAAGGAATCTTTCATCAATTTTTGTAATATTCATTAGAGAAAATTCAAATAACGCCTACTCTTATAGTTGCTTTTGTTATGCATTAAAAGATATTGTTCTTAGCTCATATTTGTTGAACATTTGAATAAAATTCATGTTTGATAAACAATTTTCTTTAGGTAAAAGATATAAAAAGATTGTCATGTTGACTATTATGGTGCTTGAAATGTACTATAGAGGGTAAATTTGTCAAACATAAGACTTAACAGTGAAAGCGACATTTATGTGATTATTTCTATTATGTTGTCCTTTTTGCATTAATAAAAAAGAAACACCATATAACTTATTGGAATGAGGGGTTGTCTCTTTTTGACTTAATCTGGACAAAATGGATTAATGTATTAAGTCACTAACTCTTTACCTATTTGTCTTTTTTTTTTCCAAACTTCTCTAAAGTAAACTTGATGACTAGTATGAAATATGTTTTTTTTTTGAAATTTTAGTGGATAATGGTCATTTTATCTTATTTAGACGGCTTACTCAATATCGAAAAGAAATAGACTTTATGTATAGAACACTTTATCATTTTAGCCATTCAGACACCAGTTAATATGGAAAAAAAGAAAGAAGTTTATTAAAAAAGAAACAACAACTAACACAATGATGTTGTGTATGCAGAGAAGTATTTGCAGGAAGCTTGGCCTATCGTGAAAGGTGCACTTAAAGGAAATGGAATTTCATGTGAGTTGGATTTGGTTTGTGATCACACTGAAAGTTTTTATTTGTATTTTGAAAACTTTTATTAATATTATAATACAATTCCTGATTTCAGGTGAAAGGGCCGATGCCTGTTTCAACAACTAGAAAGGCAAGGGATCCATATATCATAGTGAAATCCAGGGATCTGATTAAACTTTCGTCACGAAGTATCCCTGCACCTCACATAAGAGATGAAGTGTGATCCAAAATTTGATAAATATGTCAAAACTACCCCTGTAATAGTAAAAGTGGTTCTTTTTTTTTTACTTACAGATTTGTGAATGTCATGTGTTATTGCCTCGCTTGGAAGTACTTAATATATATGTGAATTATTTAACGGATGAATGTGCTTCTTATCTTTCTACAATATTACACTATTAGAAAGGTAACATTTATTTTAATAATTATAATTATCATCTTCAAAGTATTTGCACAACATGATGAACATCATTAAATTAGAATCCATAAAATTTTTATGGTATTTAAGTTTTATTCGCTTATATGCAAAAAAATGTCCAAAAAACGTTAAAAAGATGGCTGTTGATGTTCGAGGTGGTTGCAGCTGCGATTTTTGACTTCAATCATGGTAATCTATAACTACTAAATATAGAATATTGTAGAAATTATAAGGTTTTGATGTCGCTATCATTTTTCCAAATTTAAAGCTATATAGTTTTGATTTTGGTAATTTGATCCTCAATTCTTTTGTTTACAATGTCCAATATCTAATTATTAAAGCCCCAAATTGCAGGTATTGTTGAGTGGCTATCATTTTTCCAAATTTAAAGCTATATAGTTTTGATTTTGGTAATTTGATCCTCAATTCTTTTGTTTACAATGTCCAGTATCTAATTATTAAAGCCCCAAATTGCAGGTATTGTTGAGTTGGTAAAAATGTGAAGCATTCTTGCACAATATGTTAAAAAAATGTGACGAATTGTTTCATAACATGGTAAAAAGTTGAAATATTGCACAAAAAACCTTTGAATATCCATTTGTTATAGAAATAACATTCTACTTTTTTTTGGTACAACAAGTACTAATAGATAATTAGACATAGAAACAACTTTGAAATTCGTTTATTTTATTGTATCTTGACTCTTGATTTTAGTTCCTTTTTTCATTCGGATGCAGGTTTGTCTTTAGGAAAGCTCTGCAGGATGGTCTTCAAAAAGATTTGAACGCATTATGGAAACTTGACATGGATAGGAAGGTGAATGGATCCGTTGAGACATGCTTTGGATTGTCTCAGTAGGTAATCCATTTCCATGCTGCAAATTAGACAAAAGAAGATAGGTCAAGAGTTAGTATTTTTCAACTTAAGCTAAAGGTATTTAGAACGTCTCTTTTATTTATTTGATGTAGAGTGAAATTAAATGAGTATAAAATTTTAGAATTGATACTTTTTTTTTATTGTTTTAAGATGGCATCAAATCAAAGTTGTATGTTGATTAAGTAAAAATAGGATGTTAATGTAAACTTATTTATTGAACTATAGTTTTGTTTGGATGGCATTTCATGATTCCACCCTACAACGTGTTGTTGTTCGTGTAATCTACTTAATTTTGACACTGTCTTTATTTTTATAGACAAATTCCAAAATAAAAATAAAAATGAAACACCTCTAACTCATGCGTAGCATGAGTTCACCTCTTAGTTGTTATATATGCGTGGTAAAGAATAGCGTCGGCATGTTATGGAGATTTTTACATAATTGGAAATATATTGATTTAAGGAAATGTTGTGATATTTTTTTTCCTTTTGTGATAGTTATCTTTGTTTTTTGTTTATTCTCTTGACGGAGGGTTTGCATGTGGCTTTGAATGATGCTACTTGTGGTGTTTTTGTTTCGTGGTGTTCCAATTTTCATTTATTTTATACGGATGATGACTTGATTGTTAGTGTGTTGCATTGTTTTTATTTAGGTTATGTATTAAGATTAATTTACAGAAGTATAGGTTTTTTGGTGTGGGTGTGAGTACATATGAGGTTCAATGCTCATGTGATTTGTCCGTGGTATGGATATGATGCCTTTCCAAGTATCTTGGTATTCTAGTTGGTGTAAATATGGCTCGAGAAAAGGCATGGTATGTTCGCGTGGAAAGGTTTAAGTCCAACTTGTCTAAGTGGAATTCGCTCCTATCGAGGGTCGTTTGATTTTACTAAAATTAGCCATATCTAATTTTTTTGGGTATGTGATGAAAAAGGGAGAAAATGAGTTAGGTGAAATAGGATGTCACAATGGCTTCCAAAGAAAAAAAAAGGCGATTTAATGGTAGTTTAAACGCTTTTAACAAGGCTTTATTACAAATATGGTGTTGGAGGGTTATGGGTAAAATTCATCAAGGCTATTCATGGGAGATAGAGCGCTTGACCCTTGGGAGGCGGGTGGTAAAACATGTGGGGTGTCGCGTCGAATTGTTGGCTCTATCAATCATCTACAAGGCAAATGTATTATTTCACACTCTACTCTGAAATATAAGGTTGAAGATGGAAGTTTGTTGCTCTTTTGAAAGGACATGTGGGTTGTGAATGTTCCATTTATGCAATTGTATCCTTACATTTTTTTTGTTAGAGGAATATCATGAGTGCATAATGATCGCAGGAGGATGAGAGAGTGGGCGTGGTCTTGGAAAAGGCAAATAAGAGGTGGTATCGAGGAGGGACAATTCTCTACCTTGATGTCCTTGTTGGGGCTAGTTCATATTTCAGATACTATGGACACTTGGAGTTGGGTGTTAGATGGTATCCATGAGTTCATAGTAGCTTTGTTCATGAGTCATACTGATAATATATCCTTGGATGATGGTGTGTTCCAAACCAGATGATGCAACTTTGTTCTTAAAAAAGTTAACATATTTGTATGTATGCTTTTTTTTTTATCGGCTCCCTACGAGAACCGACTTATCTAACAAATGGATTGATGTAAATTCCTTATTTTCTCCTTGTTGTGGTTCGAGTGTGATGTAGAAGTTTTGTAACTTGTCATTTATGTCTCCAAACCGTTGAGGAATGATGCATTGTTTGATAATATAGTTGCTAATATGCATAATTGGTCCGCCTTCAGATTTACGAAACTGAAAATAAGTTGGGTGGTTTGGATGAATAATCTGGTTATGGCAATTACTTTGTAATTGTTTTTCTAGTTTCTTGTTAGTTCTCAATGTATAAAAGAACTAATTGTACATTATTTTACATTCATTCATTTGTTTTTTTTTTTTGTGAAATTAAAGTTTAAGTTATTGGGCTTTTTATATCACATTATGTTTATTTGGAAGAAAACTTTATGTATTGTAATTTACAATTTGTGTTCTTATATGTCAATATTCCATAGTAATCATATGTGGTTTACAGTTATTCGAATTTCTTGGTATAAATTATTTAAATTAAATACATTATTATTTATCCTAGGTGACACACAAAGTGTGTTTAATTGTCTATTTGTGAGGAAATCTTAGTATTTATTTTTGTTTGCTTGTTAATTGGAATTATTTGCTCAAATTTGTTATATAATTTAAAATATTTGTTTTGTTGATCTTGCAAATGTGTGTTGGTAAATTAATGATCATTTGCTAACTTGATATCATTTCATAGGTGTTATATCCATGTGTTGGTTGATTTTAACATAAGATCAAATATAAAGAAGAAAGCAAGGAAAGTATGAACATAATCAAGTAATCCGGAGAGTTTGAATTTTGTTTTAGATTTGATTTATTTAGGAATTGAATTTTGAATAGAATAAACTTTTTATATGAAATGACGTTCACACTTCAAAGCTTATTGTATTCCTTGGATAAGCGGGTCCCACTACTCGCCGGAATATACTTACCGGCGAACCCTACCAACCCACACTCCGCCCTTTTCCCGAAAACTATATATACTCCTCATAATTTCTTTGCCCTAGCCCAGCCGCAACTACCCTTTCCCCTTTCTCTCTCTCCTGAAAATCCCCAAATGTTCTCTTCACAAACCCTCAATCACTCGATGCCTTCATTCTAGTTACTTGATCAATTTTAACTAATCGGGGTTTATCATACAAAATGGTCAAAATTGGGTCGTCAATCGCCGGTTTGGTAGATCGAAGTTGACGATAGCGGAAGCAGCGACGATGTTTTGGATTTCGCGGTGGTGAAATACATGGACGCGGTGGAGTTACCACTTCCAGCTGCTATTGTTACAAAGATCATGAGATCGTCAGGTTGCAGTGGTGGAGGTGGGGTTACTAGGGTAGAGTTGCTAGGGAATCAATCGGAGCGTGAAACTTGCAGTAGCTCATTTCTTCCGGAGAAAGGTGTTGATTTCCTATCTATACGTATATATTTAGTTTATCCGAGATCCGTTCATCTTCAAATTTATTCTCTACTCCTTTCGTTCTCTATTCTAATTTGGGTGTTTAACCTAATGCAAAACATTTTCAAAATTGATTCGGGTTTTACTTCAAAATTAACTGTACTTGTCATATACCTTTTGATGTCGTTAGAGTTTTTTTCTTTTTCCTCCGAGAGCTAAATCCATGTCAATTTCGAAGCTGTAAAGCAACTCTTTTTTGACATCCAAAGTCAAAACGTAGCTTTTGGGTAAAGATGGGGAGTAATCTTGTGTTGATATCATCTAAATTGCACATGTTCTTTGAAATAGCATTTGCTGTTTAGTGATTGAAGTCATAGAGGATATAAACAAGTCATCTCTGCAATCTAGGGTTTGCATAATATCACATTTTACTTTATGCTACTTGATTTCCATTCAAGTAAATAAAAGATGGATCCTGAACTGAATTGATGTATCTGTACATGGACAGATGACAACTGTAATGCCAATGGTTCAAGACCAGTTTTCTGGAACAAGATGTCAGAAGAGGACCTCTACAGGTCAACCGGTCAACTGTCCAGTCATCGTAGTGAAGAAACATTTGTTGACCATGATATGACCTCTGTACCAGAGGCTAAACAATCACACAGAAAGTCTGGGAAATCATCTAGAAGCAATGGAAGTAGTTCTAAAAGGTCACGAGCAGCACATATGGAAGCTTCCATGAATCTAACAGGAGTAATCGATGCAAATGATCTACAAAAGGAGCAAGGATCTTCTTATCCTGGAAAATACAACATTTCAGGTAAAAAAAAAAATACTATCTCACTAATACTTTTAACATTATTCCCATATTTTTTTCTCACTTTTTTACACTTGCAGCTAAACACAAAACAACTGTATCTGGGAAACGAAGTGATAAAAGAAATGGCAAAATTCCTAAAAGCAAATGTGATTCTTTTTCTGTAAAAGCAGGCTTGTCAAGCTTCAGTTCATCTGCTGGTGGAAATAACATACTTGGTATGTCTATTTTTATTTTGGCAATAAATAATTTTTTTGTTAACACATTTTATAAAATCTTTTTTGATTTTTTGGTCAGGGGTATATGGTTCGAAACATGATATATGCGATTTTGGAAAGCATGTAGATGAAGTGTCACTGAATGAGCTTCTTGATGGTAGTTACAAGTGTCCTGATTCCATGAAAGACAAGGAAAAGAAAACAGAAGCTGTAAATGGAAGAATTTTGCTATCAGTTAGAGAAGCTTGCTCAATTCTTCAACTTAAGAAGCCTGGTCAAACTAGTCAAACCCAGAGTGTGACACCTGTAGATGGTAATCATAATCATAATACTTCTTCTTCCTTGCCAAATGCTGCCATTTCTGGAGCTAACATGAATGATGACAATAAAGGAAATGCAGGAGATCCATCTTCTTGTAAAAAGGTTAGTCTCTTTTTCCCTTTTTTAATAAAAAAAAAAACAGAATAATCTTTTTAATCATGACAATCGTTGTTTTATTACACGAAAGCCCTACTAATTACTTTATTAATTGCTTATTTAAGGTTGCTAATTCATGCACCGGTGTTACTGATCGCACAAATATACTTCAATTCCCGTTATTTCCACCAAAAGATGTTTTAGATCGCCTCTCTCTTCTTCCACCCAAGGATCTTGATCTTATGCTCCTCGATAGTATGAAACCTACTTCAACCTCAAAAGGTAAAATCTTTATATTACATTTTTCCTAATCAATAACAAATCTTCATATAATATGATAAATTATTAACATTCTTGAATGATGATTGATGATTGATTCCAGTACAAAACGGAGGTAGTTTACCAACATTTCCATGGTCACATATCTCGGGAGGCCATTTTAAAGCTAACCCTGATGTGGTCAAGTCAACACCAAGTAAAAGTACATGTCAAGGCAGATGGGCCAAAATGGGGAAAACAAATACTTCATTAGGAGACACAAAAACAAAAACTTATCTTGCAGATTTTGAGTCTTTAAGTTATAATGAAAACCTAGTTCCATTAGGTCGTAAATGGACCGGGCCCACCGAAAATGAAAAATCTCAACTACCATCTACCAGTAATGCAATGGTTGATCGTGGGGCTTCTAAAAATCCAGGTGAATTTCCGTTTTTGTCCCCCCTTTCTAAAAGTAAGATTACATATAATTGTTTGATGTTCAACAGGTGGGAATTCTGCTGGGGTATTATCTGCTGCGCAAACATTATGCGACATTGCAGCGCGCTATCGCAAGCAAGATCAAATCGGGACCGTTAGATGGCAAAAGAAATCGTCTTCCCAAAAATCCATAAGACCAGCCAAATTAATCTCTGATGAAAAACTAGAAAAAGCATTATTCGCAATCCCATCTTCACGACCTGTTGTGGGTCCCACCAATGACATCAAGACACATACTCAAAAGAAACTCCGTGTCTCCACAAATGACCCCACAAACAAAGCGCATTACCACTGGCCAACCACTACGCCGCAATCCAGCAGATCGTCACCCAATAAATCTTTCAAGAATGTATCCATGGAACAAAGCAACAGTAACAGTAGCCCGATGAAGAGATCCATCACAACAACTCCACCTGGGAAATTACTAAATAAGCCTCCAAAGCTTCGGAAACTTGTACCAATGGAGTGGAAAACCAGCAGGGGTGACCAAAAAGGTAATGGGAATGGGAAGTATTAAAAAGTTTGATTCTTTTTGGTTAATTAATTATGTTGTTAGTAGTTCGTTGTATCTTTTTTTTTTTTTGGTTATGAATTTGGTAGTTTGGTGTACATAATTTTAGGGTTTATGGTGTTGGTGTAGTAAGTAGTACAGGAAAGGGAAAGTTTCCCTTGTTGGGTGTACATCATTGAAGGAGAGAGACTTTTGGTTTCTTTCTTTCGCTCCCATCATGCTTGTTGTAACTATGTATGTAACAGGACTGGAGGGATAAAAAAATTTCACCTTTTTTTTTTTTTTGGTTTTCTTTCGTGTTTTAGGGATTTAATCTAAGTTGTTAATGTAGTATCATCTTGTTACCAATGTACGTGTTTTTTCAAAAAAAAAAAAACAAAAAAGCTAAAAGTTTCATTAGGTGTTGGTAAAAGAAGTAAAGGTTTTTTTTTTTTAAATGAAATGTTTAGAATGAAATCGTTATAATCTTATGAGTAATAATAGTACATTTTTGCTTGTGAATGTAATGCATATGAATAGTCTAACAAATAAAAATAAGGTTTAAAGAACACAACATGGAATAAAAGATTTTGAAAAGCAAATTACCAGCAAAATAATATTTAAAGTTAACTTAGATCAACTTTCGTCTGTTAATTCAACAAAAGGCATAGATTTTTGGTAGAGTGTATAATTTGCATTTATGAAAGAGAGTTAATATTATAAACTTAGAACATAAATAAACACACGGGGATGTAGCTCAGATGGTAGAGCGCTCGCTTAGCATACCAGAGGTACGGGGATCCAAAGACATGACGGAAATAATATGATTAGGATAGAATTATACCTGAATGATGCGTCGGGATGGATTGACGATGGATTGTTTGGGTATGATTATATGATAATATTGGATATGTTTGGATAGAGCTCTGCTATTCAGAAATAGAAAACTATTTCAACAGAAGAAGATTGAGATCAACTCAAATCTATAACACTCAAATTTAGCTTATTCATTCCTTATGGGCAAAGGCCCTATTTATAGGCTCAAAGGAGCCGAGTACAATAATAGAATTGCAATCGGTTGATTGCAATCGGTTGATTGCAATATGACAAACCTATTTACATTAATGCCCCCTAGAGTATTGAAGGTCTTACATACTTTATTTTACTATACTACCGACACTTTGCATACAATAATTATAAAAGACAAAACCTAAATAATTATAAATACTTTCTATATTGAAAGACCACATGTCTTCAATAATGTATCCTTTTTAATAATGACTTCTTATGTCATTACTTACGTCATTCCTCCCGCCTTCGAAAAGACATGTTTTTTGGATAATGTTTTACTTGTGTCATGACTGACGTTAATCCTCCATGAATGGTGTCTCTTCTGTATTTTCTGAACAATGACTGTAACTGTGTCTTGGTGCATGCATAATATGTTTACAAAGTTGTTTTTTGATATCAGCAGGTAATTCAGCCAATTGATGAGAAAATTTTTCGAAAGGTTGTTCGAATGTTTCAATTGCTTTTACTGCTTCCGGAGTGATTTCACTGTCTGTTAAAGAATAGATGATGAAGGTTTTACTTGCATAATTCACTCTGATTCTTGACTTTTGATCTTTACCATTGCCTATGCGTGATGATGCTAAATAAACACCGGCGAGTGCAAAGATTAGATGATCCTGTGTTGGTGGTTCATGGGGTAGATCATCTTTTGTTGGTTTCGAGCCGTTGCTTATTCCCATGATTGCAAAAGTAATGCTTGGGACAATTAGTTGAGAGTCTTCATCAAAAATTTGGTAACTAGAATGCATTTTAATGAATAATCCTCTTTCTTGTTTTGCAAAGCGTATTTTATAATTTCTGATGACAGTTTGCACAGCAGATGAGAATTCGCTGATGCAGTGTAAATTGGTGCCTTCTAGATAGATGGTGTCGATAAATCCATGAATAAAATAATCCCATAAGGTCATAGGATCTGATAGGTCGGCTAGGAAAACTGCTTTAGGACCTGGGCGCCTGGCTACTGGGTAAAAGCCCATCAAAGAATGGACTTCGGTGTATGAAACGAGGTTGTTCCATAATTTGGCAAATTTTTGAGCAGATGGTTTTTTCATGGCTTCTTTTTCCTTAGTTGATGGAATGGCTTCAAGGGCAATTTTTGCATTTAATTGGTTAAGAGATCTTGGGATGGATACAGGTTTTTGTGGGGTAAAGCTGGATATCGGTTTTTGTGGTGTTAGGAGAACTGTTTTTGAACATTCGACGTTATCTTTTATGACTGCTTTGTATGCTTCGTTGTATGCGGCTTCTGCTTCATTTTTTGTTTTGTAACTTTTGTGAATGATATTTTTTCCAAGAATATACGAGTTGGCAATTCCCCAATCGTCATATATTCCTTTGTTTTCTCCGTTGAAAATCACGTACCATTTCTTTATGTTTTTGTGATCTGCTTGAAGTGGTGGATATTCTTCTGGATTTTGTGTTATAGGTTGTTTTTCTGACTTGAGTATTGTTTGTGGCTGACTGTCATCGGATGAAATTTCATGAATTTCTTCTTTCGGTTGATTTGTTGTTGAACTACTAGCTGCTTCTTCTTTAGGTACTGAATGAGATGATAAAATTTGTATTGTTTGTTGTAGTTGATCTTTTTCACGTCTGACTACTTCAAGTTGTCTGACTAATGATGCTTCTTGCTCTTCTTTTTTGTTTGAACTGTTGTTTGATTTGCTTCATGATTGCTTCCATTTCAATATATCTGTGGATTGAATATTTGCGTCTCTTGGGTACCTGAATGATTGCTTAAATCTGTTTGTTTTTAATATTTCAAATGATGATATGAGAATTTTCATATCAATGTATGCTTTTGGTGATATATTCATATCACTGTATGCTTTTGGTGATATATTCATATCATTGTATACTTTATCATTGTTTACTTCAGATGGTATTTTCATACCATTGTATGCTTTAGCAATGTATATTCCAGATAGGTTAGATATGAGGTTTCTCTCAAGTTCTAATTCTAATAATACTTTTTCCATAGGATTATGTACCTGCATCTGAATCAGAATCAGTTGTATATGCATAAATATCTATATCTGAATTTATATCTGAATCTTCTATGGGTTCGTATCCAAGATCATATGCGATTTTTAATATATTTGTTTTTTTTTCTTTTTTAATCTTTTTTGGGCATTCATAAGCTTTGTGTCCGTCTTCTTGACATATCCAACATTTACAATCTTTTTTATTTGATGGGCAATAATTAGATTGATATTTTTGTTTATATTGTTTTCTATTTCGGAAATATTTTCTTTCTCCTTGTTTATAATATTCTTTATATTTAGGTTTATAGGTTTGTTTTTTCCAAATTTTCTTTTTATATTGTTGTTTTTTTATTATCTTTACAACCATATTGATTAACTTTATTTGAAATGATGTCACAACATAAATCTATTTTTGCGTCTTGTGTTGTTTTTTGTTCTAAACATTTTTTCTGCATCCATGTTTTTAATATACTTATTCGTGCTCCTAAGGTATCTGCAACTTTATTTTGTTGTAATGCTTCTTGGAAATCTTTTATTACACTTTGGCTTACTAATGATGGTAATTTTTGATAAAACATATTTAATGCTGCCTTTTTTTCTAGTGGAATCTAAATTATAATAATGTTCAGAATATTCGCATATAAATGGATCTAGATAACACATATTACAAATTCGTAGATTAGTTAAATGCCATAATGATTCTAACTGAAAAGCTTCTTTTGATACTTTATCTTCAATTTGTTTTCCTATGAATTCCTAAATAAGACGACTTAATATATTTTTAAAAATTTTCCATTGCATCAGTAGTAGCTATCATCATTGTTTCGGTTTCATCAAGAGATGATAGAAAACGATATGCATTACCTTGTGTTTTATGAATGATATAATTAAGAAAATGTGTTGGGTGTAAATTTCTTAATTCTTCAGTTAACTGAATTTGTACTCCCATTTTATTACTCCATTCTTGAATTTTTGCTTCAGGATTTTGATCACAATCAATAAAAAGAATATCTAAATTTGTTGGAAATGTAAATAATTTAGGTATGTATTGAGGAGGTATTTTTTCCCATTTATTTTGTTTATTTTTAACCATTCCTTGTCTATATAAAAAATTTTCCTCTAATGAAGGTGGTCCATAAATATATTGACTTTGATAATCATCTTCAACGTATGATTGTTTTTGTTTAATCCAAAATTGTTTTGTGAATTTCTATATGGATTTGAATAAGGATTTTCGTCATCTGAAGAAAAATCATATATTACTTCTGCGTCATTATTATCTAAATTATTTTCTATTTCTATATTATTTTCTTGAGTTTCGGATGGAATTTCTAATGCTGCAAATAATTTAGTTAGTGTTTCTACTTTTTCTTGTAAAGTTTCCATATAAATTGTGTGTATTTTGTAAATGAAATCTTTAGTTTCTTTTTACTAGTGAAATAGTTATTATTAACGATTTTTCTATTTTTTGAAACATATTTAACAAATTAATTTTGTTATCTTATCTTCAAGGTTTTTTATTTGTTCTTGTTTCCAATTTATATTATTATTTATTATATGTATTGCTTCAATATTGGATATACAATTAATTATTGATATATTAGAATCTATTTTTAAATCTAAAAGAAATTTTTTAGATTGTTTCAATGTTTTACGAAAAAAATTTAATTCTTGTTTATTTTTATCTAGACTTGAAAAACTCATGATTATAACTTTATAATAATAATAGTTTAATTTTGTTTTGGATTAAAATTACGATTAAAATTTATAGCTTTTAAAAATGATAGTGATAGTAGAGTTTATTGTGACTATTAATTTTATGATGATTATGATGATAAGTCATAACGATGAATATTCATAATAATATTTATGATGATGAATGATAAATAAAGACGAGTATGATAAATGATATGATAACATTTATAATGATATTAAAATCTTCTTACGACAATTATTATTTGATTTTTAATAACGACGATATGAATATTTAAAAACAATGATTATTTGTTTATGATGCTGCATATATATGTATTCTTACTAACGATAGATTGAATATGCAAACTAATAATAAGAATAATAAGAACGTTACTTAGCTCTGATACCAAATTTAAAGACATGACGGAAATAATATGATTAGGATAGAATTATACCTGAATGATGCGTCGGGATGGATTGACGATAGATTGTTTGGGTATGATTATATGATAATATTGGATATGTTTAGATAGGGCTCTGCTATTCAGAAATAGA